GTCGTGGGGGGGGGGGTGTCTATGGGTGCTGGGTGATCTCCACTTTGCATCTCGCCCATGGAGGCCTAGGTCAGTTGACCAATAGAAGAGGTTGGGACCACGGATCTACATTGGTTACAAATCAGTATATCTGAGTACAGCTCCTGAGTGCCGAGCTGTGGTATCTGTATGACTGAACTGCCGTACCCGAGTGTGACTCACATACTGTCCCGACAGATCAAATATCGGGAATCCTGGCTCAATGCAAGGGCCCAGGGCCACAAGCTGACCATGGACGCACTCCAGTTCCAGGCCGCCAAGTCCTCGGGAAAGATTGCTAGTGACGTAAGTAGAGCGCGGCAGGAAAGAAGTTCTCCATTTAGTGGTCACCTGTATGTCCAAGAATGTGACTGAAGAGCAGTGGTAACGCACAGTCACTGTGTAGAAGTGCTAAGCAGGACGCAGAGCCTGTGTATATAGTGAGCAGATACACATGAACCTGCTGCCAGTATAAGATGGACATCGATGTGAAGCTGGAATATATTGTATATAAGAATCCCCTTATTTGGATTCGGCCATAAGCCTCGTCATTTCAGGTTGGTGACTTCACTTTTCTTCACTTCAATTAATCAACACAGCGTGGTCACCGACCAGCCCCCAGCTTGCCAGCTGGAGAGTGAAGGAGTGTGTGTCAGCAAGCCAATGTAGTCATCATCACCCTGCTGAGTCTGCTCTCTCCTTCTGTCAGCAAACTCCAAGTGTTAGAGTGATGGGATTGTGCAATACAATGCAACAACTGGCAATACAGTGAAGCTCGTTAAGGCTTAAATTTCTGCCCCTCCCTCACCCAGCGTGGGCCATACCATGCAGGGGATAATTAATCACCATATCTGTCTATGTATAGGGTGACTTACACCATATACCAATGGTGTATATCTATGCATATGATGTAAGTCACCCTATACCAATGGTGTATACCTATGCATATGATGTAAGTCACCTTATACCAATGGTGTATACCTATGCATATGGTGTAAGTCACCTTATACCAATGGTGTATACCTATGCATATGATGTAAGTCACCTTATACCAATGGTGTATAGCTATGCATATGGTGTAAGTCACCCTATACCAATGGTGTATACCTATGCATATGGTGTAAGTCACCCTATACCAATGGTGTATACCTATGCATATGGTGTAAGTCACCCTATACCAATGGTGTATACCTATGCATATGGTGTAAGTCTCCATATACCAATGGTGTATACCTATGTATATGGTGTAAGTCACCCTATACCAATGGTGTATACCTATGCATATGATGTAAGTCACCTTATACCAATGGTGTATACCTATGCATATGATGTAAGTCACCATATACCAATGGTGTATAGCTATGCATATGGTGTAAGTCTCCATATACCAATGGTGTATACCTATGTATATGGTGTAAGTCACCCTATACCAATGGTGTATAGCTATGCATATGGTGTAAGTCACCCTATAGCAATGGTGTATACCTATGCATATGATGTAAGTCACCATATACCAATGGTGTATAGCTATGCATATGGTGTAAGTCTCCATATACCAATGGTGTATACCTATGTATATGGTGTAAGTCACCCTATACCAATGGTGTATACCTATGTGTATGGTGTAAGTCACCTTATACCAATGGTGTATACCTTTGCATATGGTGTAAGTCTCCATATACCAATGGTGTATACCTATGTATATGGTGTAATTCACTCTATACCAATGGTGTATACCTATGCATATGGTGTGTAAGTCACCAAATACATTTCTTTGCATATTTGTAACTTTGTATTTACCTTGGATAACAAATAAAACAAATGAAAACCCCCCAAAAAAGGTTGAAAATATTAATGGTAAAAAAAGGAAATAAAAAAAGCAGGGAAAATAATAGCTGGGGG